AATCTCTTTTAGATCTATGAACAACTAGGTAGTGCAAGGACCTGTCTGATTGGCAGGTCTATCTATCTATCTATCTATCTATCTATCTATCTTATAGATTTAATAAGTCTAAAGCAAAAATTGTATGGTCAGATTGTAACATATGTGGTGATCCTTAGTCTATGCATTAGAGGAAAAAATATTTTAAGATTTGAATTTGATGCATGCCAATTTTCCCCTGAAAATTACTTAAAATCCCCAAACTAGGGATGCACAGATACTTTTTGAGTACCAGTACAGATACTTGGCATTTTCATGAGAACTACCAGGGTTGCAGTGGTTGCAGCTGGGACCTGGCTCTGGCACTCCACCACTGTCCTGAAATCATTAGTCTGTATTGTTTTAGAAAAACTGTCACATGACAATAAACAAAAATGTATCAGTACTCGTACTTGTAAGTACTCGGCAAGTACCAGTAATCGTACTCGCAAAACTGGTATCTGTGCATCCCTTTATTTATAGTTATAAAAACAAAATCATACATTAAAACAGAGATGTACAAATCCCAGGAACTCTGTGTGCTCCTTACAAATTACAGCGGCCTCCTAATTTTTGAATTTTTCTCTAGTGTAGTCTTGGAGCTCAAAAGTATCGGTACATGTACTCGTACTTGTACTGAGTACTGTACTTGGTATCTGTGCAACCCTACCCCAAACAGTAAATATTTTTTGAAGCAAAATTCAGGGGCAGACTGACCATACGGGCAGTCGGGCACTGCCAGAGGGCCTGCAGCCAGAAGGGGGACCAGAATCCAGCATAATAAGCGAGAATGACGTGACATCTCCTGATGTGTATACCTGTTCTAGATCAGTGGGCCAGAAGTGATAAAGCCATTGTGTTTGCATGATAGCAAGAGAGGTCAGCAAATGCAGCCTCTATACTTCCATCAGCACAGATACCTTAGGCCAGACATTTTAAATGTTGATTTTGGATAAAATAAGGGTACCTATCAGAGTTGTTTTTGTTTTGATGTCTGCATCCTGGACACCCAACAGGAAAACTTCCCCTCTACTGATATGGTGACAACTTTAACTTTTTTGTCCCATTGACACGTTCTGTCCTGCTGACAGTGGTCACCAGGCCAGGTCAAGAGGGTGAATATTCCTGATAGGGACACAGAAATCTGAATATCAGAATACTGAAAATTATACTATTGAAGCACACATTAAACAATTTGGCAGCATTGTTTCTAACAAGGAAATGTGCCTTTTAATCACTGCTTTTGTAAATTTGCAAACTTATTTGTCAGTCTACTGTTTAGAATACAAGATTCAGTATAGTGTTTGCAAGGCTTTTTTGGCAGTATAGTCCCTTTAAAAGGTCCTGCACCTAATTCACGAAAGCCTTGCAACTAGGGATGTCCCGAAACTGATAATATTAATATCGGTATCGGGGCCGATACCAGGCACTCCTGAAAATGCCTTGATTCTTAAGGCGATACCGGTCCTTTAGATTTTTAAACAGCAGGGGCTGTCCAAGTTCCCGCGCTTGTAGGGGCCTTGACAGCCTGCTGGGGACCTGCAGATAGCTGTCCATGGCAGTGCCTGTCTGGTTCTTTATCTCCTCCTCCTCCTTCCCAGCGCAGACACAGCCATAGACAGCCCCAGGGGCGGAACTACCGGCAGTGCAGCCAGAGCGGCTGCCTCAGGGCTAGAAGCTGGGGGTTCTCGCTGTCCACTGACAGGGGAGGACTGGGCCGGGAGAAGGATGGAGGTCGGGGGGGCCCAGCATCGGAGATGGTCGGCCGGATGGCCGTCGGAGATGGCCTGTCAATGGAAGAGGCCCAGTGCCCAGCATCACCGGTCTGAAAGTGGAGAAGGCCAGGTCCCAGAATTGCTGGTCCGGATGTAGAGGAGGCCGGGTCTCAGTATCACCGGTGAGGTGGAGTGCCCGCAGAGTCACTGCAGATGTCCACATGTCGCCTGGGTGAGATCGACGCGCAGCCTGGTGAGAGGAATTCTGCTTTGAAGACGTGCTCTGCTTTGGGGACATGTATTCCCAGAATACATGTCCCCAAAGCAGAATATTGTGATCAGCTTTGGGGACATGTGTTTCGGCTTTGGGGACATGTGTTCGACCTTGGGACATGTGTTCTTCTGTGGGGACATGTTTTCCGCTTTGGGGACATCTGTATTTAGCCCTGCTGACATCTGTATTTAGCTCTGGTGAGAAACTACCCTAAAATTAGCCTGTTGTTTTAGAAAAAGTGTCACATGTCCATTTAAGAAAAAGTATCGGTAATTGGTATTGGAAAGTACCTTAGGGCAAGTACTTGTACTTGGTCTTAAATCAGTGGTATTTAAGATTGCACATGATTGCAACAGGTAAATTGTGGATAGTTGCAACATTTGTCACACTAACTTTAGACAGTTTTCTTGTGATTATTTACAACACTCTATGACTTCCGAGGAAAATATTTTGAGGTTTAATTTTCAATGGAAAGGAAAGCATTTTAGTATTTGTACACAACATGATAACATGGCATCATAAGCATTTAGAGTTTCTGACAACAAAAAATCAGTACACCCAGTAGTAAAACCGTATAAATTAACCACCCGGGTGTAAGTACTGTACATACAAAAGAAATGTGCATCCGGGCCATTGTGGGGATAGGGACTTTCATCAATGCTCTAGGGATGTTTAAATAAAATCTCATGTTAGATATGTATTTAGGATAGGTTGACAGAGAGATAAACAGATTTAGAGCAGACAATCCAATTGTACTGTTTTGCCCGTTGCAACATGTCTAGGGCATTCACTGTTTTTTCTCATCCTTTTATTAATGTTGTACATCGTGCAATGTAGAGGATCAGGACTGTGGAGGATCACTCCCCCCACCACAGTACCACTCCTGTGCCCCAAATCACTCTGTCTAGATAGGGTTGCCACGTTTTATTCAACTGAAACCTGAACACTCTAGCGCCACACAGGGCAAATATTTTTTGGGAGTATAAAAAGGAGAGAGCAAGGAGAGGCATCCAGAAGAAAGAGCAATGGAAGACAGTCAGGGGAGGGAGTAAGGATACCTGCTATAGAGGACTACCCAACAATACAAAAAAATATTAAGCTACATATTCTGTGTTGTTCCCGAGGTGACGTGCAGGGTCTCAGGTGGCCTGTGTGGGCTCTCACCAGAGATGTACAGGCTCTAGGATGGACTCCACGGGCTCTCAGGGGGGCTGTGCGGGCTCTCAGATGGGCTACGTGGGCTTTCAGGAGTGCTGTGGGGGGGCCGGAGGAGGGCAGCGTCAGGAAGATGGAAGAGGAAATCTGCGGGGCAGGCACCTGCAGCTCTCAGGAAGGCTGCCAAGGTCCCCAAATACTATAGGAACTCTCAGTGCACAGGCTAGGTAACCAAAAATAATGTAGGGCTAGAGGGAGCACTCTAAGAGTTGAGATAAGGGGGAATGATTGTGCTTGTGACAGGGAGTGCATATTGGTGTGCGGCTCTGCTCAGCAGTAGTTTCTGTGCTTGATACAGTAACAGATGCACACATTTCTCTTTGAGAAAAGTCCCAAAATCACAAGCGCACTATCCAAGATTGGGAAGGAAAAGATGAGATTGGAATCTTGGTATTAGTGAGTTCCTGGATGTGGATACTGGTTACAGTGTGCTGCCCTCAATATTCAGGTGAAGGAGACCTATAGTGGGCTGAAAACAAAAACTCTCTAAAAAAACTCTCACAAAAACTCTGTGTGTCTCACACACAGTTGTCATTAGGCTTGAAAAATAGGTTGTATTCCTTTAAAGGCATTGCCTGCAAAAACCTCTCCATACAGCCACCACCCTGCTTTTTCCACCATCCACTCCTATTCCCCCAACATCCACAGCATTCGACTTTTCACCACCAAATGTATCCACACAAGATTCCCAAGGAGTAGTACAGCGCAACAAACTTCTGAAAAGAAGAACCATAGCGCTACAGACATCCCTGTACCACCTTCCCAGTACCCACTACCAACTATAGGACAAGTCCAGCAAGCAAATTTTAGGACTGGACCAGCTCGAGAAAGAGAGAGAGAGAGAGAGAGAGAGAGAGAGAGATACTTCTTTGGTTGCTTTTGTAAAGCAAGATAGCAAAGCACATACTGTACAATCCAATAAGTATACCATCCATAAGTATAAGATCCAATAGGAACTCATTTTCATGTTATACCTATCAATGTGTAACACGTTTAGTCGTGATGCTTGCAGATATTTTAGAAGTTTAATGAATTTTTAGTATTAGTATTAAATACTCCACTTGTATTAAACACATTCCTATTAACCAGCAAAACATTCCCAGTACATAATGTTACTCATATACTGTATGTACCCAAGCACTTAACTTTTTCAGAAGTCTCTGGCACTGGCTCCAACTCCCTTACACAGCTTTGCCAACCTTACTGTCAGGGAGCGCACTCACTTAGTAATAGGATAACAGACAGCGCAGTCTCCTACATCTGTCCATCATTTAGCTTTGAGGAGGTGTAAGCAGGGGAATGATACTAGTCTTGAGGTGGAAGAATGTGGGAGAAGAGGAGTGGCACTAGTCTTGAGGAGGGAGAAGGTGGGAGCAGGAGAGTGGCATTAGCTTTGCAGAGGAGGGAACAGGGGAGTGGCATTAGCTTTGAGGAAGGAGGTGGGAACAGAGGAGTGGCATAAGCTTTGCAGAGGTGGGAGCACGGGAGTGGCATTAGCTATGAGGAAGGAGTTGGGAACAGAGGAGTGGCATAAGCTTTGCAGAGGTGGGAGCAGGGGAGTGGCATTAGCTTTGAGGAAGGAGGAGCCAGGAGTAGGGGAGTTGTATTTAGCATAATAGCTTTGAGGATGGAGGAAGCAGGATCAGAGTAATGGTGTTAGCTTTGAGGTGGAAGGATGCAGGAGCAGAGGAGTGTCATTAGCTTAAAGGAGGGAGGAGGTAGAAGTAGGCATATGGCATTAGCTAGAGAGGAGGTGGGAGCAAGGGAGTGGCTTGCACCCACGATCCCACACAAACAAAAGTGGTTACATAGGACCCTGCAAGTGAAAGGAGCAACCACGTAACCAGAAAGTGGTGCTATCAGCGAGAAGGCCAGCTACAGGAGGAAAAGAGAAGATTTACCCATCAAGATGCAGCATATATAGTCTTCACCTTATCAGCTTGTGTTGCATGTGAACGCGCATTGCAATAAGGCAGCCTATTTAGGTAAATGAGCTTCCAACGCACCAGAACACCCAAAAACGTCATTACAGGGCATGATAGTGTATCAATGTACGTTGTGGTGGGCCACAATGCATGTGTGTCGGAGGTGCAATGGTGTGCCAATGAAAATAAATGGCACTGCAATCCACTAACATGTGCATAGTGCTTTGCAGTAACATGTGCACTATTGCAAAGCACCGTGACTAAGAAGTGTATACGAGTCCTTAAAGGTTAGGGCTTTTCCCCATAGTTCTCCTAAGGGTAACGGAAGGACACAAACTAGCGTCCTCCCGTTACCCTAAACTCAGTATACCGCGAGCTACAGCTGTACCCGCCCCCTCCACGGTCCATCTCGCCAGTCAGCGCTGGAGGATCGGAGCGGGGAGGGGGGAATCCAGTCCCTCCCCTGTCACGGCTCTCTGCCGTGACAGGATAGAGAAGTGAACTAACGCCGGTATGTGTTCGCTCACTTCCCGATCTACTGAGCCGACCTGTGACAGTTTCATTGTCACAGGTCGGCTAGAATTATGAGGATGAGTGAAAAGCACTCACCTCATAGTTCTCCTTTAAAGACCATTTACACTTATGACTCATTGACTCATGATGCACACACTCCAGCATTGGCTTGACTCATGATGCACACACTCCAGCATTGGCTGTAAATCATTTCCCTGGATTGATTTCCTAGTGATGGTGAACCATGCCTATACAATGCATGTCGGTACAAGTTGTCACCCTATAACAGGGAAAGCCTAAACAAGGGCCTTAATGGCAGGATCACCAGGCATTCTTTAGTAAAAGCTGCACATTTGAAAAGATAAAAAACAAGTTTTGAAGTTACTGTACATTAACGTTACTTATGTTTCTAAAAGATTTTAGGGATTGGGGGGTTAAATCTACTTTAAAGGTAACTTTGAATAACTGTACCCTTTATCTTCCTTGATAAATGTTACATAGTTACATAGTATTTAAGGTTGAATAAAGGCATAAGTCCATCAAGTCCAACCTATTGTGTGTGTGTGTGTGTGTATAGGTCCATGAGTGTTCTCATTCTTAAGAGTACCTGTACCCTTGTACATTACGGTCTCTCAGGAAGTCATCCAAAAGCTTCTTGAATGATTCCAGACTAATCGTGGAAATCACTGCTTGAGGCAGCGAGTTCCAGACCCTAACCGCGCGAACTGAGAAGAACCCCCTTCGCCCCTTGTGTTTGAATGGGTTTTTTTTACGTTGCCATAAATGCATAGCAGAAAACAAAATTGAATAAAAGTGGCCTCTTAATGCTGTACATCACAGCTATGTAGATAGACGATTTGACTGTGTGAGTACAGATTTGGTAATGCGGTGAAAATGTTTAATTTTAACAAATGGAAGCTCTAATGCTCGGAGGCAAATGTTCTGCAGGAACACAATGAAGTTTAAAGGGGGTTTATGTAATTTCATTTTTCTTTATTCTAGCACAGCAGATCAGAGTCATTACCATCTCTGCCAACCAGACTCAAAAACAGACATCAATATTAGTTGTAATCAAGTCAGCCAATTGCTGTTTCTAATAAATGTCTGTAAAACAGCAGGGCAGCTTGCAGGTCATTTCCTATGTATGTGATATTGTCATCTCTGGACAGTCATGTCCTCTGTCTTCTGTAAACCTCTGCTAGAAAAACAGATTCATAGAAGCAATGTACATTTACGGTATTTGTTTTGTTCTTTTATGTTACCTGTATATGTATTTTATTTTTATTCTCTAAATCCTAATTCTACCAAATAAATTGCAATAAAAAAAACATTTATACTGTAACCTACCTGAAACATGGATACTGTGCTTGTGTCATGGCCAATAGAGTGTAGGGTAAGAGGGTGATTTGCTAAAGACTTTTAGGCTTGTTATGTTCATCCATCCTCTAGTGTTTTGAGAATTGAAAAAAAATCATCTTAAAGTGACATTAAAGTCAATTTATTTTTCCTTCCCCACAATGTTAACTAAAACACATACCGTAAATGATGTCTCTTAATCCGATCTTCTTCTTTCCTGTCCTTTTCACCTGTCCCTCCGGCGGGTGTCTGATCCAGTGCTGACTCCTCTGTCCTTGCTGGCACTTCCTGTCCTACGATGTCTGCATGCGGGTGCACGCGTCCATAGACTTACCTTGTGTCTCTTCTCGTCTCCCGGCATAAAATCCGAACTGCGCATGCGCCCGCCTGAGCGGATTTTCGGACGGGAGCGCGTGGGGAAGACATGGGTGAGTTTAAAACGCTTTTAAAGCGTTTTTAAGAAAAAACTTTTTGCATATATCTACTGCGTGCTAGCAGTAGATTTATGCAAAAAAAACGGAAGGTTTAGAAACCCTTTAACATGCTGCCAGTAGTGTGGAAAGTAAAGGATACCTATACTGAGAGTGTATTGTAGAAACTATGATTGCTGACATCCTTCTGAAGATGCCCTTTGACTGGCTGTCTTTGGCTTCAATACTCTAGATTTATCACCTGCAACAAGCATACAGCAAAGGAAGTCAGATTAAGCGATCAATCTGCATGCTTGTTCCAGGTCAATAACTACGGAAATAATTAAGCCATTAAAAGACCACTATCATGAAAAAACATTGTTTTCTGATAATGAACAGATAAATAAAGAACAGAATTGTGATCTATTGCAGCTCACCTGTCTTTATGTTCTGACTGCATTCGTTTTTCCTCAGTAAACCTGAGAGTAACACACTTTTTGTCCTTAGGTGACAACACTCATTCACTGCACTGTATCCAGGCGTTGTCACCCTGGGGTGTGTTCCTGATCTGGACTATAAAACAACTTCCCCTTTCCTTACCTGCATAAGGGATGAGGTGTACTATAGTTCACAGTGGCAAACTGGGCATGGGTGATTGAGATTTCAGTGCAGCAGAGGAGCAGAGTGCATAGGACGTTACTAGTTCACTTAGAAGGATCAATAGGCTTTTTTCGCATTTATCAAACAGAAACCTTTTTTAATGGCATATTTAAATGCCCAAACTGTAGCAAATAATAGAAGTGTATTGTTAGGTTGCATATGCACGTGCAAGGGTGTCAAAGAGATCAGGAGGCTTACATCACTTCTATATGAAAGCCGACAGTTGGCTGATGGAGTGTGAACACAGCTACCTGCTGCCACGGATGTACTATTTGTTTTACATTCGTGGTAGTGGGGGTTAAAGGAAGTTTAAGGAAGTTGAAAAATAACAGATTTACTGACCGGATCACCAGGTAAAATAAAGGAAAAAGCCTAAAGAAAGAAAACTAATGCAGTCACCATATTTAAGGATTGGTAAACTGCTAATATATTACATTTTTGCTATTGAGTTATGATTAGCTTTAAATAAAGTGACATTAAAGTCACAAATATCCCCCCCCCCATACTGCTTGTAGGACTTACCTTAAAATGATGCCTCCTAATCCGATCTTCTTCCTTCCAGTAGTTTTCAGGCGTCCCTCCAGAACTGGTGCCGGTTTCTGATCCAAAGCTGACTGCTGCGTCTTCTGTGTCTCACGTCTGCCCGTGTGCACGCTGCCGCAGCGTGCATTGAGTTACACTGAGTCTCTCCTCTCCTCCCAGCCAAAGATCTCTACTGCGTATGCGCCCGCCCCATCATGCTGCTCAGCTGCTCGAGAATCTTCAGATCTTCTGACGGGAGCGAGCGGCGGAGACAGAGGTAAGTAAAACCCTTATTAGTAACTTTTTTAAATTTGTTTTATGTTTTTGCATATATCTACTGCTAGCAAGCAATAGATATATGCAAAAAACAAAAAGAGTTTAAAAATACTTTAAGTGAACCGTCAACTTCTTTAAAGACACAAAAATCTGCAAACAAACACGATTACATGCTGAGAAGTGTTTCCCTTATTCATCCAAAATTGCAGACTGTGTAAAAGGTGACGAGTTTTTGCATTCTGTTGTGCTGCAATTATTTTCCTGTTACGGGGAATGGTGTAATGAGATCAGAGCTCATTCTATAAATGCTGTGTGTATAATTGTTATGAGAGGGGTACTGCTGGAGAGACCCACATTACAGGAATATGCCAGGCAGAGCTGACTTTATGAATCTTGAATGTGTATGACTGGTGTGAGAGGTGATTTCTGTAGGCACTACCTGTCTTGGTCCAGGAGGGTGCATTTTGTGCAGAATGCACCCTCCCTGCTATTGCCGGTGTTGTATCTTGACACAACACCAGGAATTAGGCAAAGCAGGTACCTTCTAGACGCCCCTCTATGGAGGGCACTTGTAGCCTAATGGTAAATCCAGCCCTATCTGTAGGACCAATTTTTACACTGATGCAAAAATCTCAACAGGTTGTTTACTTTCATCCAACATTTCTTGTAGTATAACTTTAAAATGTGACTGTTCCCTAACAAAAGGATGTATTGCTATGCCATCGATTACTGAGCCTGACATATTCTACTGTGTATACAGTACACTATCTATCTATCTATCTATCTATCTATCTATCTATCTATCTATCTATCTATCTATCTATCTATCTATCTATCCATCTATCTATCTACCTTGTATACAACACATGTGAAACATACAGCATTTCAGTTTGTGCAGACCATTCTTGCATAACATTTGGGAGGCTCACTTGCACACATCTTTCCTTAGCAAATGATTATTATAATTACGAGGATCATTTTTATACTCTTTAACTCCATAGCAATGAGTCCTCCACTGATTCCTTGCATGAAGATCCCCAAGCACCTGCACTGGTGTCAGTCCCCAATAGGTTGGTAATTACTCATATCCTCTTATCCCTGTTCAACCAAACTGTTCACTGACGTC